AATTATTCCTTACCCTTTTCACAGTTCTGGCCAAAATATCCATTTGGGCAGAGACAAGTGTACTTCGTTAGGTCGTACCCTAGCCGCGTACAAGTCTTGTTTCCTTCGCAAAGACCGTTATTCAAACATGGATTCTATAGACAAAAAAGCATCATGTTATCAATACGAACTGCCAAAGCCATTCTACTAGTAAAATGCACCGTGGAAACAAAAAGAGGGAATTTGCAGGATTGTTCGTGGTAATATATACTATATACATGATAACAGACTTAGCTTTGGCTTGCGCTAAGCTGAGAATGAGTTAAATGACAATAAATTTTTGTTTATATGCGACAACGTATACACATATGAACAAGCTTTTTTTGTTCGTTAAATCTCACAAATTTGTGCAAGGATCAGCTTTTCGGGGTAGCGCACAAACCAAGCGAAGAGGTTAGAGCTCAGGTACTTGTAAAAAATCTTAGTATGCAATACATGTATGGCCGAGAAGTCGTAACTAACCTTTATTCCTCTGTACGAGAATCCTTTTCTTTGATGGAAATCTTGTGGGGAATTATATCTGTCGGCCTGATTAAGCTCACAAGAAAACCATCCTTCGGTTTCATTAGAGGGAGCAATATTGAACGAAACACAGTCTTTGTTCGATTTACATACAAATAAACAAAGAATCGGCATTTCTGCTTTAAGCAAGCGGAACGAATGGTTGAGAAGAACCATTCCATTTACTTCTGGCTCAAAAAGACCATCTGTGCATTGCTCCCATATTGAATCTGTAATATAAATAATATAGTATAAGATATAGAACATCATGCATATCATGATCAATACTTATTGAAGCCTGTCAGTAACTTGTCACACGTGAAACTTTGTAGGTTTGTAGAACATAGCAAACTCAACAGAATGTGGTGCAGCACATAATCTGTGTTGCACACATTTAGTGTCTGCATTCTAACATTGTCATTATTTGTAAATTTACATTTTTGTTATTTTTTATATATTTATATTTTAGTCTTCATTTTTCTTTTTTGTTATATATTTATTTTAGAGGTCTCTCTTGTAAATCACTTTATGGTGACAGCGATAACCTCAATAAAGATTATTTATTATTATTATTATTATAAGCTATGACGTGACGTGACATCTCTATAAAATGGAAAATGTTTTAAACAGTAAATTTTGATCCCATAAGTTCTCTTACTATTGGTCCCGTTGTAGAATTTATCAAAATAAGCTGATTCCAATATACTCGATGAAATAATAAAATATAATACATAGATTTTAAA